AAAGCAAGAAAAAAAAAAATAAAATAAAATAAAATAAAAACAAAAAATAACAACAACAACAAAAAAAAAAAAAAAACATTGGAAATGCATTTCATATTTTAATGCAACTCAAGTTTTTATTTTATTATTTCTCGATTGTGCAAATTAAATGCAAATTTTCCAACAATTTTTTTTCAACTTTATCCTTCTGGCACTATCAAAATAACATTTTAAGTGCAGCTCAGCACACAGCTGACATCGCCAAGCCTCTTACGACTGATACACACACATTAAAGGATTTTCCAAAATGTTGAAAATAAAAAAAAAAACCCGACAGTCACAAATATTCAAAAGTGACATTATCAATTATTGACTGATAAATAAAGTGGTTCAATTTGTAGTTGATTGAGTTTTTTGGATCTGCATTTATTTATTGAAAAATATGCAAGCTCAAAGATGATTATTGGTTATCTTACAAATGTTAAATGAAAAAATAAATAAATAAATAAATGTTATTAAATTAAATAAATAAATATATATAAAAAAAAAACAAAATTTCTAAGCTTTTAAAAATATAAAAAAGATAAAAAATATATAATTCGAGGCATAATTTAAAAATCATAATAATTTACATATATATGTATATGTACGCAAAATTTAATTGTTTTTTAAACCCTGATCCCATTGGTCATCGCAGACCCCATAAAGTATATATATTCTTGATCAGCACGAAGAGCTGAATCGATATAGCTCTGTTCGTCTGTCCGTCCGTTCGTATGAGTGCGTCGATCTCAGAAGTTATAAGAGCTAGAGACTTGAAATTTGGCGTGTTTATCATACGTAGTACAAGTTTATCATATTTCTTCGATAAATCATCAGATAAGTTTTTTATCGAGAATAATCGAAAAATTGATTTAGTTTTTTCCGCCGAATTTGAACACTTTTAGACCTAGGGACTTTAACTTCAACAAAAGCTCGAAATTTTATTAATTATGAAGCATCATGTGTTTCTCTCTCTCTCTCTCTTTCTCTCTTACTCTATCTCTTACATTTTTCAATAAAAATTCAACAAATTGTAGCTCAAATTAGCTATGACATAGCTGTGTGAATAGCGGAACTAGCCGAAGACGATATTCATAACATATTCTCCCACAAATGGACACTCATATACTTATACAAATATATATATATCTATAGCTGTACTTTAATTACAATTTGTCATACCCAAAGCAAAGTCATTTGCATTGCAGGCCGGGCCATATTACATATATGCATATCTACATATATGTTGGGAGCTACCACTTGGAATGCATCCATTGAATGGGTAACTAGACAGAATCTGACAGCCAGCGCCCACGATAACTGAAGACGATGACAAAATGTGCTGTCAACTGTGTGTGTGTTTATGTGTGTGTGTGTATGTGTGCTGCGTAGGGGCTCCCCATTAGCTGCACCAAGTTGGCATGTCAAAACAGTAAACGGCAAATGTCTGCCAGACAAAAGACAAACACCCACAGAATCCACCTGAGGACATACCAAACTACAATAGCAAAAAAACAAATAAACAAAAAAGAAGAAAAAATGACAGAAGTGAAAGGAAATGGCAGCTGCAAAGTGCAAGTTCGTGTGCAATGCAAAGTGGGAGCGATGCTAGTGACTGGCCAGCGAGTGGATGAAGTGCGTGTGTGTGTGTATGTGTGTGTGCAGGGCGAGTGCATGCATAACGCACATAGTCTAAGATGCTGGTAAAACAAAGCACAGCACAACAGTGCGTATGTGCGATGTGAGAGCGATGAGCAGAGGCAAGTGGCAAGGCAACTGGCAATAACGAAAGCTGAGCGAAGTTTCGTGTGTAATTGAGGGTATTTTAAATATGCTATGCATTGTGTGACATTTAAAGTGAGAAGCTAATTAAGAGCTATCACACTCAGCTGCTTAATAATGTGTTAAAATTGCAAAGAGTTTGTTGAGAAATTCCATTTTATTAATTGAAAAAAAAAATAAAAATAAAAAAAAAATACATAAGTAAAATAAAAATTAATTTAAAATTATTATTGATACAGTGCCAATAATCAACCTTTGAAATGTGTTATGCACTGAGTAACATTTGAAATAAAATTAAAATTGATACATGTAAATTTTAAGAGCGAAGTGTGGAGTCTACATAAATCCCTATATAAAAATTGATTCAAATTGAAACGAATTTGTCAATGAAATATTAAAAATAGTCAAATAGACTAAATTTGTTTTATAGTGGGTAATATAGATAGATTTGGAGTTGATTTAGACAGATAGCATATATTATTTATATATTACAGTCATTGTGAGTCTTTGAGCTTAAAAACGGAGCATAAAAATGACCCCAATTGAAAACATGCTCAGTACTTGAAAGAACATTTTATAATTTGATCACATGTTGTCAAAGAATGACCTAAGGCAGAAGCCATTATATTACTTTATATTTTTATTTATTTTTATTTACTTATTCATTTATTTTAATTTTTTATTTTTATTTATTTATTCATTTATTTTAATTTTTTATTATTATTTATTTATTTATTTTTTTTTTTTTGAATATTTAGACGACAACATAAAAATTGTTTCACTCGGTCTTCAAAGGCTGAGTACATGTATTTTAATTATAATTATAATTATTGTGAATTTAAAATCATATAATTAATTAATTGTATTCTAATATATGCGAATACAATTGAAAAGCGTATATAGACTTTGCCATAAGCTCTAAAGGTTACAGCAAATGTTTATATACATGCATATTCATCAAAAGCAAGCGTTTAAGTTGATGTTTTAGTTGAGCCAACTTTATGTCGGTCTGCACACGCTGCCCCATGTCAGACGAAGGAACTAACATTCCCTGCCCAACTACTATTATTCTTTCATATTCATGCATGCAGTTAAAAACACAACAGCAACAACACAAAGAGCTCCAAACATTTCAAGCAATGTACTGTATATGGACATAAATTGCAAAACTATCGATTGAGCTGTGGCTGGATTCGCCATTGGAGTTGCTCAAAAGTTCAAATTGTTTCCGTTTAAAGAATGCCAGCTGGATGGAAAAGCGATTCTCCACTCTACTTGGGTAATTGCAAGAAAATCCTATTTAATCCCAGCAAATGCGACTTTATCACGCAAAAAATTATGAAATATTCACGAAACAGCGATTGCTTGTTCTTCGACTTTATTGTTGTTGTTGTTGTTGCTGTTGTTGCTTTTCCGCTTGTTTACACTTCTGCTGCTGTGGCTGCTATAGCTGTCTGCCGTTTCTTTGCCGCTTGCCTTTTGGCAGTATTCATAGAAAACCAAGTACGGCAAGAAATAAAATAGCAAATGGCAGTCAGAGTTTGCTTGGATATTGAGTAACTCATAGTTCCCTTTTAGCAACATCATCATTTTTGGGGTTTTCATCGAGTGCCCTGAGCACAACGCAATGGCCTGCTATGCTATTTCGCATTTATTGTTATTAAGACGCGAGGGTTAACCAAAGACAACAAAGGAAAAGGGAGAAAACTGTCTAGAAAATTGCGCTGTTAATAGCTTGAATTGTGATAGATGCAATTAACAATTGTCTTTTTCTTTTTTTTTTTTTTAAAGATATAAAAATGAGGGTGTGTTACATGTTTTCTATTGCTTTTAGAAGGGGATGGAGAGTTTCAGTTAGGTGGCATTGAGTATGCTAAATAAATAATTATGGATTTATGCAACATTTTTTTTTTTATTTAACATACAATATAATTTTAATATATTTTGTACTACTATATTCATTTATATATTATGCCCATTTTTTGTCTATTTATAAATGACCTTTTAATTTGTTGTTATATGTATAGTGCTTTAATATATATTTTTTTTCAATAGTGTGAACTTTTTTTTGTGTTAAACATTTTCAAATTTATTCCTCATATTTTTATTTTTATTTTCATTTTTAATATTTTATATATATTATTATTATATTTATTTACATTTTTTTTAATTTTAAATATTCTTATTTTGTTATAGATTTATTATTATTATTTATTATTATATTATTTGTTAATATTTTATATATATTATTATTATATTTATTTACATTTTTTTTTAATTTTAAATATTCTTATTTTGTTATAGATTTATTATTATTATTTATTATTATATTATTTGTTAATATTTTTTTAAAAGTCACTTAATTTTTTATTTTTAATTTTGTTATAGTTTTATAATGCCTATCTTTTATGTGTATTTAAACTCTATTAAAACATTCTTTTTGCCCCATCATGTTTCATTTATGTATGTGACAGCCCTCGTCAATTATTATTATGCTGTATAGCCACTGCCTCAGTGTTTCTACTCTTTCTCTCTCTGTCTCCCTTACTATCACCACTCTCTCTCTCTCTCTGACAAACTCTTTGCCCCGCTAAGCTCAGCTACCCTGTGTGCTGCTCTCCAATGTTTTATGCAGATGAATGCGCGCATTTATGAAAAATTTTGTTGTCATCGCTCAATTCGCTGATTATTGTTGTAGCTGTTGTTGTTGTTGTTACTGTTTTCACTTGCTACTGATGAGAAATAATGTTTGCGGAAAAATAAGATTTGTTTATTTTACGAACGATTGATTTTCCCGATCTCTCTCCTCTCCCACTATAGAACGGCGAACGTTCCAGAGTGCTACCCACACAGTGATTGCGTTCATTCTGTATCTTTTGCCTGTCACTTGTCCGCGCTTCATTTTGTGCAGCTTAAAAATTAATTATCGCCGGTCTCTGTCAAGCTCTGCCCAGCTCTGTTGTCATTTATTTTTCATCTTTATATATACGCTGATATATATATATATATATATATATTAATTTATATTTATATTTTCTTTTTCATCGTTTGTTGGCAAGTTTTGTAAATATTTTGTCAAAAAGTTCTTGCCGGACTTTGCGTAAATCTTCTACGAAATTAACTTCGATTTTTGGACTTTTTATTCTATTTTCCTTTCGATTTTTCTTTATTTTGATTTTTTTTTATCATTTACTTACCCGGCACGAACAGCAAGAGTAGCAGCATAGCCAGCCAGCATATGCAGCTGCTGCCTGCTGTTGTTGTTGCTGTTGTTTTTGTTGTCTGGGCACGCCCACGTTGCCCACAGGATGATGGCATTGTGCTGGCTGTTGTCCTGTTCGTCCTTCTGCTTAGCATTTGCATGCGAGCCTGCTGCCAGTTCTTATGCAGCATTGACAACATCATCGCCATACAATAAACCTAGTTTTTCTTTCACTATATATATAAATATATTTGTATAAGTATATGTATATATGTATTTTTTATAGTTCACTCAGTTGCGCGTTGTATTGTGTCTGGCGTAGCGGCGGGCGCTTCCTTTGGGCGAAAGCCTTATAAATATATATTGGCCAATAAATGTCAATTGTATTTGAGCCACTTTGTGGGCCAACGTTGTCTGGCTGTCTATATTTCCGATTTATATCGAGTCAGCGAAACCAACTGCAATTATATAGAGGTTAAGCATGGGTTAAGTTTTTTCTGTTTTTATAGACGAGTTGAGTCAAGTAAAACTCAATGAAACCACATTTATATGCTTAAAGTGGAATAATATTTATGTAGAGTAGATAAATGCAAATAAAAATAAAATATACAATCAATAAAATACCCAATCCAATCCACTGATTCAACTGCTCATTAGCTATTTATATTCAATTTGTATTTTATTTCGCTAAAACGAAAAATAGCAACTGGCCAAACAGCTAAAAGTTGCTGTTGCAATTTTGCTTTTAATTTGGTCAAAAAGTATCGAATCATCGAATTAATTTCAAAAATGCTTCATTCATTTCTGTTTTCATTGAATCGATGCTACAGTGATTCTATATGGTGAGACTTATGCTGTTTTTCATTCCCATTCTCTCTATCTCTCTCTGTCTCTCTCTCTCTCCCTCTATCTGTCTCTCTCTTTCTCTTCTTTTAGCTATCTTTGCTAAACCTAATGCCCAAGTAAACACTGAGATTAATGCAATTAACGCTGCACTTTAATTAAAAATCACTCCAAAAGCAAATGCACACATGCAGTCGACACACTCTGCTCCATACTCACACATACACACTCACACACATACAGACATCCCAATTCGATTCCATTTCAACACTAATCCGCGTGCAAATGAAAATATAATAGTATTAACAGCCAGCGGCGAACAAAGGTACACAAAAGAGGAAAATACAAAAGGAAAAAGCGCAAAGGAAACTTAAAAAAAAAATGTAAATTACAGAAATAGCGGAAAAAAGCTGCAAATGACAGTTGCTATTAGGGGTAGTCACTATGCTAGCAATTAATTGAAATTACGCATATCTACGGCCCACATGCATATCCTTACGCCTCTCTCCCTCTCTCTCTCTCTTGCTCAAGTACCATTTCCTAATTGTCTTTTGCAAAAGAACAAGAAAAAAAAAAAACAAATTTCAATCCACACTTTAATTATTTTTGTCAGACTTTACACATTTAAATAAGAGGAATAAACACAGACACACATATGGGTGTGTGTATGTGTGTGTGTTTGCCTTTATGCCACACCCTCCCAGGCGGCCCCTTACTCGGCTTGTTTTTGTCGTTAAAAAGTTTCCCGAAACGCTTTTGGCAATATCATTTTCATTCGTCCTCATGCCCATTTCAACAATTTTCCATTCGCAATTACAACAAAACGTGAGAGACACACATACATAAACATATACATATACACACAGATGTATATAGCCATTTGAACTCTTTACTCCATCTCTCGCTTTTGCTTTCAACTCTTTGTTTGTTGTTCTTTTCTTGCATTGACTTTTTTATGCATTTAAATGCTGAATTTCTTATTTCCTATTTTTTTTTTTCTGGCTTGGCCAGCCAAGTTTCGCATTAAAATGGCTGCCAGTGCGGAAAAGAGACAGTAGCTGTCGCTGTCTGCCTCGCTCTCAATTTAAGGTAATGAGCACATACAAAGTGCAATTAAAAGCTTGTTGCCAAAAATGCAGTTTTCCGCATATTTCTTTTGCACTCGCCGCCAAAGGATATTATCAGCTGTAACATGCCGTTTGTTAGCAGTTATAGGTCTTATTATTGCTTCTAGTAGAGGTAATTGATGAAGGTAAAAATAAACTCATACAGCTCATATTTCTGTATATAAAAGTACCACAAACTGCATTAAAAAAACAAAAAATTGAAAAAAAAAATTTATTTATATCAATATATAAATAAGTTAGGTGAGTGTATTATAGTTTCGTTACATTTCGAGCTTTTTTTTTCGTGCTTTGCTTTCGTTTGGTAGCTTTCAACACGCGCTGCGCTTCGTCTTTTTGTGCCGAAGCCAGTTGCAAAGTATGCAAGCGGCATTAATGCGCTTTATGGCCAAAGTCGACGGCGCATGCATTTAACGAGCCGCCCAGCATGAACCCAGTTAAGTGCCGAGACAAACTACAAACAAAGAACTGCACAAAAAGTCCCAAATAAGAGGTTGCAAATAAAAGAAACGAAGAAAGAGATTAAGAAATACAATTAGGAATTGCTAAGAAATTAAAAGATTGTATCATGGAAATTATGTTGAATTTTTTAATTTATTTGCAGAAATAAAACAAATACGTTAGAGCATTATGTGTTTATATCTGTAATAATTAAATTACATATTTATGTTACGGATTACGTAATCAAAAAGAATTAAATATATATACTGATGTATGTATATAAAATAAATAAATAAAAAATTAAATAAATAAATCAATAATAATAAAATAAAATAAATATAGAAAATGTATAAATATATATAAATTAAATCTATATAAAAATACATTATGATGAATTGGGAAAACAAAATTATTAATGAAAACCATAAAAATAAAGAGTTAAAACCATTTAAATCCTAATCATTGCAATAAAGTAGTGAAGTGATTTTTAAAAATAGTTTAAAGTTAAGAACAACATAGCTTCAATTATGATTAAAAAAAAATTAATATATATTTCATTTTAATTAAAAGCTTGCTATAATAGTACTTTACTATAATAGTATTAAAATCATGTAATGCTTATTTAAAAAAAAAAAAAAAAAAAAAAAAAAAAAAAAAAAAAAAACAGAAGCAAAACAACATCGAATTGCATAATTTATTGCAAATTGTAACAGCTGCACCAGCAATGCTAACAAGACTTGCCCCCCGCCAGCTGCACTTGTTGTGCCTGTCTATCGCAGTGCAACACTGCGTATGCGTAATCTCCGTTAGACTTGAATGCTTTACACATCTTTTTCGTTTCATTTCGCTGCTCTTATCGCATATTCAGTGCATTTCCGCTGTCATATCATACGCACACACACACACGCGCATAAACAAATCTATATTTTCTTTTTTTATGCATATAAATAACAAAATAATAGCTCAGTGCACAACTGAGTGCCGAACAACACTCAAAACGACGTCATCAAAGTCACACAAAACTTCAGCAGCAGCCGTGGCAGGGGCAGGGGCAGGGGCAGGGGCAGCATCAGCTCAAATATATATTTAGTAGTAGTTGTTGTTTATGGTTTTTGCGTCTTCGTCTTTTTTGTTGCATCTTGCATCTATCTGTTGCAGTTCATTGACTTTGCAGTTGATGTTGCTTGGCGCTGCTGTTGTTGTTGCAGTTGTTGTTGTTTGGGGTTTTTGGTTTTTATATCCATGAGTTTGTATTTATTTCTTTGCCTGGTTGCCACGGCTCACTTATTTCATTTCCCAGTGCCTTGCGGTCTCACAATTGTGTGCATATTTTATTTAAACGATTTCTCTCTCACTCCCTCTCCCTCACTCTCTCTCTCTCTGTCACTGTTTGTAGAGACAACGATAGTACGGCATGTATGACATTGGTTTTTTCCACAATTTCCTATGCTGCTTTTTTATTTATTTTTATTTTTATTTCCATTTTTTTTTTTCTGTTCTGATTTGCTTGCTTGACTTTGTGGGTCAAGCTTTGGGTGAAATGTTTTTGATGTTGTTGTGTCCTAAGCCCCCATACCCCACCCCCCGCTTCAGCATCGGGATGACGCAGAGGACACTCTAACAGCAATTACATGTGTGCATATGTTATATTGAGTGAACATTCAGCTGTATCTGGCTGAACGTGAGGGATTTTATTTATAGCAAATATGTTTGCAAATTGATTTGGATAACATTTAAATTAAGCTTTTTACCCAGATTATTCCATATGCACATTTCAAGGCATTCAGAGTGGAATTGCCATCGATGTATACAAAATAGATTCAATTTGATTTTCTTCTAGTACGATAGGCTAGACTAGCTGCATATTAAATGCGTCCAATGAAAGTGAAGCACATTAGAGTATATATATTTCTTTTCGCTTGAACTATATTTGATATTTTATATACATATTTTTTTATATTATTTTTTTATTTTTATTTAAAAAAAAATGCATCTTTTTATTCAAAGGAATTTGCAGTCAACTATAATAGTTGCAGACTTTTTTTAAACAATATAAATTTAAAATTATTTATTGATGTTGTCTAAACGTTCCTTGCTTATTTTGAGGTTTCTCTCCCTCTCCCTCTCTATCTCTCTCTCTCTCTCTCTCTCTTTCCCTGTCTCTCTCTCTCTCTCTCTCTCTCTCTCTCACTCATGTAAATTTCTTCTTGATTGTCTCAGCAAAATCTGTTCAATAGATATTCTCATTGCCTGGAGTTTTAATTTAAAGCATTTCAAATTTCACTCCGACTTTTCAAGATTTTTCTTAGCTGACGAATGTCATTATACAGATTTCTCTATTAATCAATTGCATTTTTTCAAAAATACCTTTCATTAACAATTTCGAAAACTGAAGTGATTTTGTGTGCGTGGCATGTTTCGGTGTTTTCTCTGCTGTTGTAGTTAGTTGTCGCTGGCGCTGTCGTTGTCGTTGTCGTTGTCCTTGTCGTAGCTGTCGGAGCTGCCAACCTTTCTTAGACCACAGAATCTCATTACGAACCTGAACGCGTTCTCTTTCGCTCTCTTCATGCGCTCTCTTTCACGCGCTGTATCTGAGTTTTTGCTATTTTGCAATTAAAACTTTCATTAAAGTAATTAAAATTGCAACAAAATCAACAAAAATACAATCAAAATCTACTTGCAGGGCAGCAGGAGACTGAACGCTAGAGAGAGAGAGAAAGAGAGGGGGGCGAGAACATTGTGGTTAAAGGTTCAGGGCCTTGACAAATACACAAAAATGCAGTTAAAAATGTGGCAGAAGGGGGAAGGACAATGGACAGAGGGGCACAGCGAAAGACAAAAGTGTGACAAATATAAACAGGAGTGTAAATAAAATGGCTAAATGTAAATGACGGTGCGAGAGCGAGAGGGGAGCGGATGCAGAACGAGGTGCAAGTGGGGATAATAAAATGTGGTAATTGTAAATAGGTGGAAAATGAGTGCGGGCAGCAACGGCGGCGGCGGGCGAGTGGGCGTGGCATGTGCTAAACAACAAACGTAAAAGTAACATT